CTATCGTACGGAGTACATAACCGACCAAACCCGGCATACAGTAGTGTGCAGAAAAGACGATCATCTCGCTGCAGAGGACTGTGCATTGCATATCATTATTTTGAAGTAACATCGCACATCTGGAGAATATGGGGCCCTCTGTCCTCAGCAATCCCTTATTGGCTAGTGGGAATACAGTATTGAATTTGCTTGCACATCACTGTTTTCAGGAGATCTGCCTGATCCCTGGTGTGGCGCGGATGGCGTGCTCACCGTAACCCTGTGTGTACTTGGACCGACTGCGTGTACACTGAAGAAATATCCCCAGCTTCGGGATATTGGGTCCCCTCTCCGGAAATTACGGCCCTAAAATGCATACGTGTATATGTACTAATTGTACATGTGGTGGTTGCATCCGGTTTTTCCTGTCTCTCAGGCAGAGAGATTTCTGCATGTCCACATGACCCGTGTACACATGCAGAATACCAGGGTCCAGGGAACGAGTCCGGGATTTGCGCTCAAAGAAGCAGGTAGGAACAATTACTAATTTGCACACTCCCGTTCACCCTAACTTCCCGTACTCCGTACGAGAAATAAAGTGGGGGAGTGGCAAACACTTATGCGACCACACGGGTGTACCTGAACTAAGGCCCGGGGAACCGAGAAAAGGAGGAAAGGAGGGAAAACGGGACACATGGCATGGAAAACTCTAACTAGCGGCGAGCAAACTTCAATAATGCCTAGTTGAGTTAAGACCGCTCCACTTGGAGGGAGACTATATCTCACCGTTCCGGACCGTTGGAATAAAGCGTGGAGTCGGAGATTTTGAGAGCCGGATTTCGAACAGATCGGGATTTGAGTACTGTACTCAGTGCGATCGCCTGTTTCTGGCTTTGCTGATTGGATATTGACCTGGCAAGGTATACATGTAGTTATATACTAAGTTAGTTTGTACTATTGCATATAGATCGGTGAGAATATATCAAGATTTCCGCAACATTTTATCTAAATCTTCGGGGCCCGGCACACTGGTAAATCTCTATTGAGGTGTCGGCTAGGGTCATGGGACCAAAGAAAATTGACTGTTTCATGTTGCGCTCCACTTGAAAATCTTCTAGTTCGCCTTCTGGAATAGCGGGCCGAGGTTGGGAAGCCCAAACCACATGTAGACTGGGTGGAATCGAACTGGGACATTTGCGGACGTTTGAAACCCGTCTGTTGTTTGCAACCGAGAGATGCAAACCTAAGTCAAAATGATCCCATGTTTTGTTGGCATGCAGATCATCGAGATGTCACTGGTGCAACCTGCTCAAACACCAGTGGCTGACATTTTAGTTTCAGCGGCTATGTGCGAGCTCCATGCCTGTAAGACCGGCCACCTGCGTAACCCCAAGCTTCGGTTACCGGTTACACCGAAATGCTCAAAGCATTACATAGCAAGTCCTGCAATGACCCGTGCTGTATGTACTCCCAAGTCACACCAGCCCTGTAGGTCGTGCTTGGATCGTCAAGGTACCGCGTGACATATACATAAGACCTGGTTTCAACACTGTAATTGCACAGACTCGTAGCGTTTGCAGGGAGTTGAAACACTCTGCAACACTAATCTTGACATGTATCACAGGATGTTGATCACGCCACCACAGCTGCCCGCCGTTCGAGGTGGGAAAGCTTGGCCATAAGCAGGATCCTACTCAGTCTTGGGTATGGGCCCACTATCGAATGAGTATCTCAATCCTCGTCAAGAGATGTCTGAGCTTGGGTTGAGATCCATTCCTCCATCAGAGGTTGCTTTGCTTCAGCGCTCGGCTTGGTCTTGTCGCCTTTGCGGGTGATCAATAGACACAACACCCAACTGCAGATATTGAAGCTTTCGTAGTGAGTGCTGAAGCGAAGCTTCTTCTCTTCGCTGCTCACATCGCCATCTTGCTTCCCTGCCTTTTTTCGACTTCTTCTCTCTAGCGCATTCTCCGTTGCTTCGTCCGCTCCCGGTATATCGTGCAATCCATCGACCTCACCATCGCTTTCAATCATGATTTCATCCTCTGTCGAGCCTGGATTGATTATCCCCTCGCCATCTTCTGGTTTGAGGTTAATTTGATCGTTCCCGTGAAATGTCTTATTGCGCGTGAGGAGGGAATGACGGGTGCGCGATTCGCGGAGGAAAATGGCCACTTCGAACTCATCTAGGCAAGCATTAGCAAGTTCACTGCATATGATAAACACCTCTCAACTTCACCTTCTGCAATAACATCCTTGACTGGTTTGCCTTTCTTGCGCATAAAGAGTCGCTCATTCTCTTCGCGCAGCTTGGGCAGGACCAACGGCCGGATGGCCTCGAAGACGCGCGGAAGGACAGGATCACGAGAGTTCAAGAGCCATCGTGAGTCCGATGGAGAGTCCAGATAGATCCGACACTCCAAGACTGAGTATTTGCTGATGCGCAGGTATCGCCGTATGGGAGCCATGTTGGTGGGATGAAGTTGAAGCTGTCGATGACCTCAGGCCAACGCCAAGCATTTTGCCGCCGAATATCTGATTGGCGATGGAAACGCCCATCCCAGGGATACAAACCTCCTCTCCTCATCTTCCATGTCTCTCTGTGTACCTGACCCATCGATCTGAGCAACCATGCCTATAAGGGATATAAAGGATATAAAGGATATCCTCAACATGGACAGTAAGTCGGAGGTCCTACTATCTCTCCCACGTGACCCGGCCAACCACCGCGACCGGAAAGAGATTACTGACCCGTCCCCAAGGTCCTCACTCAAGTACCGGATACATCCGGTCACACACAAATTTACATGGGTCCATAGGTACCTGGTACCAGCCCCAAGCGCAAAACTCCATCCTTGACGTCTTCGAGTCTCCCAAGGTCCCCATGGATCCCACTCTTCCCCCCGCCGGAAATTATAACTGATCCCGCAAATTCTGATCTTGTCTGATTTCAACTATCTGCGGGTGAATCTTCCGGCTTCAGGCTTTCGGTATCAAGAGAAACCTTTAGGGCTTCTTTTGAACATCTCTTGACCGACCCAGACGTGCGCCGCCAGAAGGGGAAACTCATGTTGCATGCTCCCTCTTTACTGTCCAATCGTACGATAGAGCGCAGTTCAAAGTTCAGAATTGTCAGGATAACCTTGTTGTTTCCCGCGTGTCCCTAAACCGACGCATCTCGCCTACTATCGAGGACCTTGCGGGTGACAATCTCCCACAGAGTTCCACGACATTGTTCTACAATCCTCCGGCGTTTTCCTTTGCGATCATCGCTTCGCCTTCTTGCTGCAATCTTTCGTGGTCTTTTGGTCCCCTCTTATCTGTTTCAGCCTATTTTCTTCTATCTCAATCGTGATGGATTCTGTTCTTCTCAAGCGGGCAGATGCCTGTGACCCTGGCAATGAATTCGACGGCCGCATGGGACTGCGCATCTCTTCCATCTTTGTGATCATGGTTGGCTCCATGTTCGGAGCTGTATTCCCTGTATTCGCCCGCCGCTTTGGCAAGGATGGCGGGTTCCCCAAGTGGTGTTTCTTCATCGCCAAGTATTTCGGATCCGGTGTCATCATCGCAACTGCCTTCATTCACCTCTTGGCTCCGGCTGAGGAGGCTCTGACAAACGATTGTCTGACCGGTCCTATCACCGAATACAGCTGGGTCGAGGGCATTGTTCTCATGACTATCATTGTCCTGTTCTTTGTCGAGTTGATGGTTATGCGCTACTCTAGCTTCGGTCAAGGCCATGTGCACGACGAAGAGGGCCACTCTCACATCCAGATCGAAGAGCCTACTGTCAATGAAGTTGGTGAGAACAAGAACCACATCGTCGGAGAAGACCACCTCGGCCACGGTCGCGAGCATCACGACAGCGACTCCGAAAAGGGCCCCCAGGCAGCCGAGGACTATACCGCTCAACTCACTTCGATCTTCATCCTGGAATTCGGCATTATCTTCCACTCTATATTCATTGGTCTCACTCTTGCAGTGTCTGGAGCCGAATTCACTACCCTTTACATTGTCCTTGTCTTCCATCAGACCTTCGAAGGCCTTGGTCTTGGTTCCCGTCTGGCCACTGTCCCATGGCCCAAGTCAAAGCGCCTCACCCCCTACATCCTGGGCTTGGCCTTCGGTATCTCGACTCCCATTGCCATTGCCATTGGCCTCGGTGTTCGAAAGAGCTACCCGCCCCAAGGACGAACCACCCTCATTGTCAACGGTGTCTTCGACTCTATCTCTGCTGGCATTCTGATCTATACTGCCCTTGTCGAGCTGATGGCGCACGAGTTCATGTTCAGCAGCTCCATGCGCAAGGCTCCTATCCGTGATGTGCTTATTGCGTTCGGCCTGCTGTGTGCCGGTGCTGCCCTCATGGCCCTGCTGGGCAAGTGGGCTTAGAGACTTGATTCAGCAAGCAAAAGTCCTGGGATTTATTCCCAATAATGAGTCATGTCCCTGTCTTGTTTTTTTTTATTTTTTATTTTTTATTTTTTTATATTGCTTATGGATGCGTGCTTTTTTTCAACATATGTGATACCCACGGGATCCGAGCTATGCACATGTCGGCGTTATTTTAGCGGCTGTATCTACCTACCTCAAATTCAATAGAATAGAAGGCTATTGAAAGATGTTTTCAAATTATCAAATAAGTGAGTAGCCACAGACAACCGAATCTGCAATAGATAATCCTCGATATATATCCACGTGCAACGTCGGCAATTTCGTCAGGGATATGCGTGACTGACGCTTAAACATCTAGAAGAGGAAGAATATCTCCAAGCCGGCAATTACCGAAGCCTTGATGCTTAGCTTTCTTTGTCCGAGCTTAACTCACTTGCACCCATAGGGCTGGCTCAAAGGACAGGAGGGTGAGGTTCCCCGCGTGCAAGTCGACGTGGCCATTGACTGTTGCACTGAAATAACTTTCGAATCTGACTGCAGCTGTGCTACTTTCTCCTCGAACGTCCACTCTCTTCCGACCTTCCATCAACCCTTGCTCAAGATCACGTCTGTGGGTTACCAAGATGGCTTCCGAGCGAGTTATTTCCGAGCGTGACTTGACCGCGCTCCCAGTGCACGATGGACGAGAGCACATCTCAACTGAGAGCCTGGCTATCGCGAGAAACAGTCCCTCGAAAGACGTTTCGAAGAGACAGAGTCTCTCGGACTTGTTTACCATCGTGAGTGCACCATCTCAACCAGCGCAGCTGAAAGTTACATTCCCTGTCCTCGTGGTCAACTAACCAGAATGACCTGCCACTAGTTTGCCTGCGGCTTTGCTCTGATCAGTGATGGATATCAGAACAACCTGATGTAAGTTGAGTGCGTTCCTGCTCTGTCAAGACTGGATCACAAACTGACCTACCAACCACAGGACTATGACCAATGTCCTCCTCAAAGCTGAATACCCCAAGGAGTACACCACCGTCGTCAGCACACGTGTGTCTAATGCACTGCTGGTCGGCGAAGTTGTCGGACAAGTCGTCATTGGGTAAGAACCGTACTTCCAACCTGATAATGTTGGGATCTAACTAACTTATATCCAGACTGACATGCGACTACCTGGGTCGCAAGACGGCCATCGTCTTCACTACCCTCATGATCGTCATTGGAGGAATCCTTGCCACAGCCTCACACGGCGTGACTATCAATGGCATGTTCTGGATGATGACCGTTGCGCGTGGCGTTGTCGGGTTTGGTACGTGAACCCTAATGCCTTTCCACTGTCAATCATATACCCCAAGATCCAACACCCTGAAAGATACATTATATTATATACTCTATACTAACCTCCATACCAGGAGCCGGCGGCGAATATCCCGCCTCCTCAACCGCGGCCTCAGAAGCAGCAAATGATCTCATGCCCAAACGCCGAGGCCCGGCCTTCATCATGGTCACCAACTTCCCCTTATCATTCGGAGGACCTTTCGCCGTGTCAATCTTCCTAATGGTACTCTGCGCCTGTAGCCAGACAAACTACAGCACCGTCTGGCGAGTATGTTTCGGTATTGGCTGCGTCTGGCCATTGTCGATTTTCTACTTCAGAATCCGCATGCTGAACTCCGTTCTCTACCGCCGTGGCGCAATCAAGAAACATGTTCCCTACAAACTCGTGCTGCGATACTACTGGAGATCATTGATTGGGACATGCGGAGCTTGGTTCCTCTATGGTAAAAACAGAAACCCCTGCACATACACATCAACCCTTTCTACAAAATACAACCTACTAACAAATCAAACCGCAGACTTCGTCACTTTCCCAAATGGTGTCTTCTCCGGCACAATAATCTCCAGCGTCGTCCACAACGGCACGATCCTCCAAACGGGCGAATGGCAACTCCTACTCGGAGCAATCGCCCTGCCCGGCGTATTCCTCGGGGCGCTCCTCTGCGACCGTCTCGGCCGCAAACGAATAATGATGATCGGCTTCAGCGGATACCTAATCTTCGGTCTAATAATCGGCTGCGCCTACGACCGCGTGACGAAGATCGTCCCACTCTTCGTCGTCTTCTACGGACTCATGCAGAGTTCGGGAAACTTCGGGCCGGGGAATATGCTAGGTCTCATCTCGTCTGAGTCTTATGCCACTGGTGTGCGCGGCACTTGCTATGGGCTTTCGGCGGCTATTGGGAAGGCTGGGGCTGCTGTTGGCACGCAGGCATTCTTGCCTATTAAGAGTCACTTGGGGAATAAGTGGACTTTTATTATTGCTGCTATTTGTGGGGTTGCTGGGGTTGTTGTTACTTGGGTTTTTGTGCCGGATTTGTCGGGGGAGGATCTCAGGGTTCGGGATGAGAACTTTCGTGCTTATCTTGTTTCTAAGGGTTGGGATGGGGATATGGGGGAAGGTGATTTGAAGGCGATGGCTGATCAGGGCGTGGGTTATGGTGAGGCTGTTGCTGCTCCGCAGTTTACTAAGGGCTAGGTTGGTCTGATCAAACTGTGTACCCGTTAGGGTCTTGAGGATTAGATGGTACAAGGAGTTGGATCAGGAAGCATGGATGGATCAAGGTCATAATTTCAGAGTCACGACCGCTCCTGAAATCCCCAATCCTGATCAAAAACCAATATCGGAGAAATAAGCCTATGTCAATATCCTAATAAGCAACAAAGAAACTATTCCCCTTCATTCCATCTCAGCTTTTTATAATTTATAGTTTCACCAAGCACAGACCAACGCTAATCCCGCCGAGGTCCAACACCCAATCTGTCCTCAATCCCTCCACCTCCACCTCCCCTCCCAATCCAATTCAACCGAACCACCGCCAAAAATGCGTCTCACCTCCATCCTTGTCGCAGCTCTAAGCTCCCTCGCCGCCGCCGCCGAGCTCGGCATCGAAACAACCCACGCAGTCGAATGCACCCGCAAGACCGTCAAGGGCGACGGTGTCTCCATGCACTACCGCGGAACCCTACAAGCCGACGGCTCGGAATTCGACTCCAGCTATAATCGCCATGCGCCATTGACTTTCAAGCTTGGTACTGGTCGTGTTATTAAGGGGTAAGTGTGGATGTTGTTTTGGATTTGATTGGCCATGACTATGATTATGGTTGTCTTGGAAATACATCATGCTAATGTGTACTTTTTCCTTTTTAGATGGGACCAGGGCTTGTTGGATATGTGCATTGGCGAGAAGCGCACGCTGACTATTCCCCCCGAGTACGGCTACGGCGACCGTGGTATTGGGCCTATCCCCGGTGGTGCGACATTGGTCTTTGAGACTGAGTTGGTTGCTATTGAGGGCGTTGATAAGGACGAGCTGTAAAGGGTACTATCTGCTGCTACCTTGTTAATACCTTGACATTTAACGTTATTGGATGAGATTATTTATTTATACTTCCCCGGAGAATGTGTGCCAGTATATGGTATCATATAGATTATGCTATGCCTCTATAAGCAGAAGGGTATCTTGTCTAAATGTACACTGTACAGGTAAAATCAAAAGAAGGAAAAGGGGGAAAATCCAGGACATGGTGGCATCTCAATCCATGGCATCCAAGGTATTCTCGGCATGGAGAGCATTCTCCGATACCAATATCCCAATCAGACACTCGCCAAGAATCCCTTCCCAGTTAACCCACGGGTGGATCTCCTGGAATAGCTTCGCAGAGTCCTTCCCCGCACCGCGGAGGAGCTCGCCCTTACCACCTGGGTGGTAGGGGGCGTACGGAGAGATATTATATACTTTGCCATGGTACGAGGTCCACGCATCCCGACCCTTGCGACCATGTTGCTCTTTCAGCATGGACGGTGTAACGCGGAGCAGACCCGGTGGTACATCTTTGCCGCGGAGGTTGTTGTTCGGGTTTGAGGTCAGGGCGGCCCAGTCCAAGGGGGAGAACCCCGGCTCGAGGATTACCTTCTTCGAGTTGGGTTTCTTCAGTGTCACTGGTGTCGGGGCTAGGGTGCTGCTGCTTAGGCGGCTGCTGCTGGTTGGGGGTCCGCGTTGTGAGGCTGCTGCTGATGGGGGCGGGCTGAGTGAGCTGCCTGAGCTGAGACGTGGGGGTTGAAGGGTACTTGGCGGGGAGAGGCTGTTTGTTTGGGATGGTCGGGGTCTAGGGCCTGGGGGTGGAGGTGGTGGCATTAGGGAGCCACCCGTTGTTGATGGTTGTCGCGGAGGAGCGAGGGATGGTGGCTGTGGCGGCTTGGGCTTTGGTGCCGCATTATCACGATCTGTTGGCTTAGACTGCCCGGTTCCTCGTAGGAACTGCGGAATGGATGGCATCGTCGGGTTGGGTGTTTCGCTGTCACTGCTATCCAGACTGAGCGTGGGGACCGCAAGGACCGGGGGTGGTGCGCTTGACGGCGACGCCTTGGGTGTGCTTTGGGAATCCTCCTCCTCTGTTTCTATTTCTGGTGTTGAAGACCCTGGGCCATGCTTTCCCGGTACAGGCTCGTCGGCGGTGGGAATGGTAACCGTCGCTTCGGGTTTGGGTTCCGGAGGGGCGAGAGGACGAGGCTCCGTCCAGCTGCGAGGAGGATAGCAATAGAGGAAATATACAGTTGTTGCAATGAGTACACCTGCTCCTACCCAGCCCATACCGAACCGAGTGAGAAGTACACGAAAGGTGCAAGATATGTGAGTTAGGAGAATGCTTAGAATCACTGTTCTGCAGATTCGCCGAAAAATGTGGTCCGTGCGCCATACCGACCAGATCAGATCTATGCAGGCACTCAGGGTTCAGAAGCCAAGCACGGAGTTCGTTACTAGCAGCTTACGCGTTCATTAATTGAAGACATAATGCTGACCGCAAGAATACTGTAGGCGATAAAATATAAACCATGTACTAAGCACGAGACATTATACCCAATACGGACTGTTCCATTCAAGTCAATCCAGGGCCCATGTGGCTTGTCTGGGGGAGGAATAGACTCCGGAAGAGATTGAGACCACCAATGAGGTATCTAGATATCAAGATAAATTAAGCATAAGAAGGCGATAATGCTCATGATGTCAGCTCATCATCATCCCCCAGACCCCAGATCTCACAATAGACCCTGTGTATGACTTCTCAATGATACACAGCACGATCTCTACTCGAACATGGTCTTAGCTCACAGGGCTTTGAGGGACCAAATGATCCGGAACAAGACCATGTCTACCTCCGATGCGATTACCCTGTTTGATGTAGGGGCTGGTCAAGTGGGTATCCAAATATCTAGGTGAAGGCTTTGCACAATCATACTGAACAGTCGCAGGCGCAAGGAAGTAGGCCGCTTCAGGAGGATCGATGCGTGGTGGCTTTTCCGGAACAATTTCCCTCGAAAGTGGAGGACAAGATTGCGTTCTTTGCAATCTATGATGGACAGTAAGAAAATCCTCGGGCCTCTATCACAGTCTAAACCTGACCACTGTACTTAGCGGTTCCGGGCTCGTTTCAGATCAAGTCAGTCAAACCCTGCATCATCTGCTTGCCAAACGCCCGGAATTCGAACGAGGAGAGTGGACGGCAGCCATCAAGGCAGCACTGGAGGAAGAAGACAGCATTCTACTCGACCGGTTCAAGCGCGAATCCATCGAGCCTGCCTTGTCAGGATCCACCGTGGCAGTGTGTTGCATTAATCTCACCGTTGGCGAGCTGCTTGTGTCCAATCTGGGAGACTCGCATGTTATCCTGGCGGAGCGAGACCCAACAACAGAGTATCCGTATCACATTGTACGCACTATCCCCGATAGCGAAGGTGATTCGAAGACAGCTAACCGCTGCAGTAGCGGCGTCTCACAGAGACTCACAAGCCCGAGGTGCCCAGCGAAAAGGCTCGTATCGAAGAAGCAGGCGGGAAAGTCACCATCCGGAGTGGGACGCCACGTCTTGGTATGTTTGGCGCCAGTGCAAATAACAACACTGACCAGGGGATAGGTGATTTGAACATGTCCCGGGCACTGGGCGACCTGCAGTACAAGAACCCGGTCAACACCTCTGATCCGGCGCCAGACCCCGCCTCTTCAGGATCGAGCCGGTCGGAATCACGGGGCAACTTCCTATCCAATGAACCCTACACCTCCCGACGGATGTTGCACTCGAACCGCCGATACTTACTGCTGATGGTATCAGACGGTGTCAGCGACCAAGTGGAGGACGCCAATCTGGCGCAGCACGTGATGAAGCTATCAATGCGGGGGAAAAGAGCCAGTGAGATCGCAAAAGAGATCGCCACCAAAAGTGCAGGCCATCAACATAGTGACAATGCGTCGTGTATTGTAGCGATATTGGATGGCCAAGGATCGTGATAGAGAGTTAAGATCTATGAGATGGTTGTAATACGTAACTACCTAAACAGGACAAGCGCCGGAGAGCAAATTGTGTTATGCATGACCCGTTCCACGGTTCACTCCTTACCCAATTAAGAAGGTGGTTGTAGTCAGGTTTTGGCTGTTTGACGACATTCTATTGGGTCTGAGGCCTTCGGTGTTATTGCTGTTCTAGGGTTCTCAATTTGCTCTCAATTTTTGGTCCCATAAATGAAGACACGTTGTGATGTGGCGTTTCGTATACCTCCGAGATATCCAGTTTTTTAATTTTGGCTTTGCCATTTCCGGTGCTGTGGTTATTATACATTTAAATTTAAACTAGGAACCGGCTTTTCCGTAACACCCCGCTCCACAAGGTTATCTCCCTTCAGAGGCAGATAAACGACGTCGCTTACTGCCGCCCTTTTGCGTTCAATAGATCTAAGCCCCAGCTTTGGCAGGGGTTGACCCAATTTGCTGGAAACCTGTCAAACTCCTTTAGGCAGGCGATTTGAGTCTCGTACATGTGGACCCTAAAAAGCATACCATCCGGGCCCTAGCCACCTTCCAGAAGGGTCAACCCTGAAGAGAACCTGAGCATATATAATTGCCGTATCATCCATCATTCCACAGATTTATCGTTTCATTTTTTTGGGTCCATTTATATCCGCCATTGCCCACATCTCTTTGAATGATTCTCGCTCAAACCCGGACCCCGTCTCAGGTTTGCAGCATGGCAGCCAAGCAATGGAGCAACTTCCACGTGGGAAGAGAGTGTGGCCACCAGAAGTGGTCTCGAAAGAACACTCCCAAATTGACCGTCTCCTCAGGCGAGACCGTCTCCTTCGACGCCATCGATAGCAGCAATGGCCAACTCGACACAACATCCCAGGCCTCAGCCATCAGCTCCCTGGATCTAGGCCTCGCCAACCCAGTCTTCGGCCCGATCTACATAAACGACGCCCAACCCGGCGACGTCCTCAAAGTCGAAGTCCTAAACCTCGAAGTCGCCGACTGGGGCTGGTCCGCCATCATCCCGGGCTTCGGACTGCTGGCAGACGAATTCCCAGAGCCAGAGATCAAGATCTGGTCGCTGAACCGCGAAGCAGGCTTCGCCCAGTTCAATAACATGCGCATCCCCCTCCGCCCCTTTCTCGGATGCATGGGCCTCGCCCCAGCCGGCGATGAAGAGCTCTCCACCGTCCCGCCCACCAACGCCGGCGGCAACATGGACTGCCGCGAGCTGAGCGTCGGCTCAACCGTCTACCTCCCCGTCCAGACGGCCGGTGCACTATTCAGCTGTGGTGACGGCCACGCCGCACAGGGCCACGGCGAGGTCTGCGGCACCGCAATCGAAACCCCCATCCGGGCGACGCTCCGCTTCGAGCTCGTCAAGAACCAGCCCTGGATGACCGCTCCTCAGTTCCAGACTCCGCCTCGGGCGCAAATACCCAACCCCCTCCCCGATCTTGGAACCTACGGCGCTCTTGGTGTTGCTCCCGATCTGTATGAGGCTACCCGCAGTGCTACTCGGAACCTAATTCAGTGGCTGGTTCAGACTAAGGGTCTTACTCGCAGCGAGGCATACATTCTTGCCAGTGTTGCTGGTGATCTGCAAATTGCAGAGGTGGTTAATGTGCCCAACTTCGAAGTGGCTATGACCCTCCCATTGGGCATCTTCTCTTAATATGAGACGTCCGGTATATACATCTTTTCTTGGAGAATCGGTATGGTGGAGTGATACCCGGAATAATGATTTTGATTTGATTTTGCTTCTGTTTTGAGCATTTACAATGGTGTGGATCAGGGGACGGCGATGTATTTGCATTCGGGCAAGCGTTACTCAGGCGAGCATTCACATGAACATATTAACATATTGACACATCGACATATCAACATAATTTAATACTGCTTTTTTTTTCTTGCTCTATGAGACATGAGACATGGCTTCGATTCAAACTTTAACTAGGCGACCAGGGAGCACAAAAGGCATGGCTTACTTCCGGGAAACGAGGGCGCCATTGCTATGAAAGGTCTGGCCGTAAACCTGTCATCTCCTATTTCCTATGTTGCATTGTGCTCCGGCCTCAGCCACACAAGGAATGGGCGTCCCACTTTGGCCAGGATAGGCAGGTCAAAATGTGGGATGACGAGGGACGTACAGGGTCCACTGATCGGTGTACTTCAAGTATAGTAGGAAGGTGTGACAGCAATAGGAAGTTGCCTGTCGAGGTATCATGGGCAAATCGGGGATAATTTCTTGGCTTCCGGTCGCCTATTTGGCTCCGGGTCTTGTACCAAGTTTGGGCAATTCAATTATCCGGACATGGCCGTATGCTCTGGATGTGGCTCAGGGTTGGATTAGGCTGTGCTTTGGAGTATCGTACTCGAAGAGCATCTTGCTCAGGAAATTGTCTTGGCGAGGCCACAATCAGTGAAATCGACTTGCATCTATATCGAGTACGGAGTTCGGAGTTCCTTGACAATTCACATGTTGTTTCGCTCGTGATAGTTCTCCAGCTCTCATGTGCGCTATGCCAGCATACTTCCGCAGGTAAAAGAAAAGGCTCTCTGCTTTGTAGCCAAGATCCTTCTAGCTAAAATAAAGTAAAGATTCCTCAAGAGCAAGTATACCCTCGCTACTCGCTGAAATGACAGAATATCTCCTCTAGTCAGCGGTTCTTCTTGTTCTCTAGGTCTTGATATAGCTCAGCGGCCATGAAGTGTAGTAAGCCTTTATCTAAGTGACCTTTGTTCAAAGAACCGCTTCCTTTTCCTGTCTTCATTGTCCGTTCTTCAGAGCTGGGTGAAAGCTGCAGTACTACCTAGCCCACTTGGCATGTCTCTAGTGGAGTCTAGGAGACGGGGCTACAGAGCTTGCATAAATAAGGAACCGATAGTATTGTACTACTCTCGATTCAGGTATTGTACTTTAGCTGGTTCGTCCAGGGGACTTCTACAAAGATGCTTCTTGTGTGGAGATCGGTATGCCGTCATGTCGGTTGGGGCCGCTTAAGGCAGTTGGAGTTATCTGCTGGATATGGCGTGATTTTCTTCACTTTGCCGAGAAGTTGAATATACTCTTTTAAACGAAGTTTAAAGTTGGTAGGTTGGGTTTAGGGCGATCTATGTTTGAGAGTGAGAGGTCAATGAGAGACTTGTCCGTGTCTTCGTCTCTCCTTCCTTTTTGGTACATGATCAGGAGTCCGAGAATAGAAAAGGTCCGCACAGACTGTAATCCACCCTAGTTAAGCTACATGATCCAGGCAGAATCAGAAGAGAGACCGACACAAATACACATTTGGGTCCACAGGCGGATCTACTTACTGTATATGAATTAAATTCATTGCGAGCTGCTATTATATAGGCTACCGGATGCTGGAAACTGATGCTCGGTCAGTCATTGCTCTCGCTGTGTGGGCCGTTTGATAAGGGCTATGTAAGTGCTGTCCCCATTTTCATCCCGGCCCTTGAAGGTATAGACACTGAGACTGAGTCTGTCATAATTTATTCCGGGCTTAATATATTGCCTGGGCTGATGCTTCAAGCTAACGTCATATAACTGGGTATTGTGTTGTATGTTTGTGCTGACGTGTTCGCATCTATAAGCAACCGATGAAGAGTCAAGCTCGCCAGTTTAGTACAGTAGTTCAGGCTTTGTAAAATACAAAACTCTTATTAGGCCTATTATGATATCGTGGCTAGATAGTACGAGCTATATGATGTTATAACGGAGTGGCTTGTCAACTCTCTTTCATTTTTTCTATCCTTAAAACTCGGTACCAGTAAAGCAATATTAAAAATTCCGGGGTTCAAAGCATCCCAGGGGGTTCAAAGCATTCTGTTACCAGTAAAATAAACCAAAGGCTCGACAAAATCCAGCAATCTCTCTAACTAGCCCGGTTGCCAGGTCTAAAACTAGATAATGTTGAAGTTCTAAATTTGCTTCCAGGTTACAATGTTCCCTGGTCCTAAAAACAGTCTATACTAGGGCAACTCTGATTTAAAATTCATTTGACATTTGACATTGGATCCTAGGACCTTTCTAGATAAATGAAGGGTAAAGTCCTTGCCAATTGAGAGTTTCATTCATTGCAAAATAAAAGACCGATTGCCTCTTCTTATCGATTCATAATCGATTGAATACGGGTTAATGGCTTGAAAAGGCCAGATGGTCCTTGTGATTTGAGGCTTCAATAAACTTTCACTAGTAAAGATTCAATCTAGGACGGAGGATCTTAGGAATTCCATTTGCTTGATCTCCTATGACTTAGCCCTCGTACCATGGTGCCACATGGTTCACACGCCTTGTTGATCCTTTTTATTTTTTTTTAATATAAAAAGCGAGCTACTAATTTGGATCCTAATTTTGAAGAAGGACTCAGAAATTTACACCGTTGAATCTAACGTGGTTGCTTCGAGGATAGCTTATACAAGGCACAGGTTGTTGGCCACACCAGCGGTAAACCAACAGTCCTCATAGATTATATTTCACAAAACCACTTCAATCGACTTATTTATACTTTCATTGACCATAATCTAACATAAATCTTCGATATACCATCCACATATTGTTCATCCTTGATCAACCACCTCGATGGAATATGTCACATGACGCCGCGTTCCCTCGCGTCTCCACCTCACAAGAACTCGAGCAAGACCCCAACACCCAGCATGTCATGGATCCCATCCTAGATGGACTAAATCATGCGCAGCGTGAGGCTGTAACATCGTCTGGCTCGATTCTACAAGTGCTCGCCCCTCCAGGCTCCGGCAAGACAAAAACCTTGACCGCACGCGTCGCGTATTTACTCTCCCATCATGGATACCAACCACAGGATGTTATCTGTTGCACGTTCACAATCAAGGCTAGTCGTGAGATGCGAGAGCGACTCGCAAAGCTCATCGGCGAAAAGCTCGAATCGCGCTTGATCCTAGGGACTTTTCACTCTATTTGTCGTCGGTATCTGGTTAAATATGGGTACTTGATTGGTTTGCGG